ATGTGCACCTATATCTCTAGCCCTGCTTCCAGGGGATCCCATCGGTGATGCCTTCCTTCATCCTTGGGCCAGCCCAGATGGAGATCAGACCCATATTTACCCCCATACATGTGTACATGATACCACACACATGCATACAATACATACATGCACACAGCACACCATATGCACATAGCACCACATATATGCATACACCACATGTGTGTATACAGTACACACATGCACAAAGCACCACACACATGCACACAGCATGCATATATGCACACAGCATACCAGATGAATAAACTATACATGCATGCACACAACACACACAGCACGCACATGCATATAGTACACATGCACATAGCACTACACATGTATGCAGCACACATATGCACACAGCATACCACATCCATACACTACACACACATGCACATGACACACAGCACACACAAGCATACACTACACACACATGCACATAGCACATTCATGCACACAGCATACCACATACATACACCACATGCACATGCACACAGCACACACACATGCACACGGTATCACATATATACACACAGCACACCCACATGCACACAACACACAGCACACACACATGCATACACCATACACACATGCAAACACCACACATCACACGTACACAACACACAAATACATGCACTATACACATGCACATAACACATCACACACACATGCACACATCACACACACATACACTGCATCACACATATGCATAGAGCACATAGGCACACAGCACACATACATGCACACAGCACATACATGCACACAGTACCACACATATAACACAACACACACACATGCACACAGCACACATACATGCATAGACCACACACATGACACCCACATACACAACACACATGCATACACCATACATATGGACATTAACACACACATGCATACACCACACGCATGTACATAGCACCACACATGTGCACACGACACACATACATGCACACAACACATGCATACATGACACATAACATCCACACATGCATGCAGAACCAACATGCAGACACCACACACATGCACACAGCACACACATGCATATACCACACGCTCATGCACACAGCATCACACATATACAGCATGCACACATGCACAAAACACACACAGCACTACATACACAAGCACACGGCACACACATATTACACACATGTGCTGCATGTACATGCATATAACACACCAGCACACGTTCACACAAATACACACACACACTGCATATACCATGCGTGCACACATGTGCACATGCATACACACACACACACACCCTTTTTCTTGCTCCTCCCAGCCCAGGCTCAGTGGGTTGGCAGCCCTGGCCTGTAAAGGATAGTTAAATAGCCACCTCCAGTGGTTGCTTATAAGATGACTGCTCCTGGAGCTCTGCCCTTGCAGTAACTTTGGAGGGTTTTCATCAGACCAAGAATGAACGAGTTATGAGTCGGCTAATAAAATGCTTTGGCCGGAGCCCAAAGTTCTGTCCTCATTGTTTACTGATTTTATTGGTGATCCTGCTCAGCAGCCTTGCCTGGTGCCCCTTCCCTGAGTCACCTGCTGTGGCTGCGCCAAGCATCCGGGACAGGCATGCTGCCAGGCCTCACAGGCTCCTGCTCTGTCTAAGTCCCTGCAGCTGCTCGAGCCCACACTGTCCTTCCTTCCTCCCTCCCTGAGGACCCGCACCAGGCAGGCACCCACAGGTGCCACTGCCTCCAGACCTCCTCCAAATGACCCTGGCCTCACAGTCCCAGCAGGTGCTGTCTGCTGTGAAGGGGTTTCTCGCCCTCTTGGGAAAGGTGCCCATTCACCCTGGAAGGATCCCATCCCTGCCATCCCTATTTCTCACACATTCTCCTCATCTCCCATCATCCAGTCCTTTGGCTTCTCCCCCAGAACAGCCCTTAGGTCTGCCAGTTCCCTGCCCCCGGCCTGGGTCTGTACTCATCAGCTCTCCCCTGCCCACCACCTCCTCAGGGGCCTGCTGCCTGTCCCTCATGGCCACACCTAGTGATCAAGGACTCCAGCCCCACTAACCCAGTGCTGAGCTGGTGGGACACATTTGAGTCTCCCAGAGTCATACGTGTGCAGGATGTACCATCCAGGCCAGGGGCAGCTACTCAGGGGCTGAAGGTGCTGGGAAAGGCCTCATGGGCATCAAGACCCCCACAACTGGGGACAGTACCACCCCCTCCTGCTGGGGATGCTGCTGGGAGAGCTGCGGTCACACCTGCCCCTGGAGGACAGGATCCAGCTCCTCATCCTCCTGGACACCCTGCCTGGCCCTGTTCCCTTCCACCTTGTCTCCAGCCGCTCTCCAGCCTCTTTTTTCCAAAAAAGATGCAAAGTCCATGCCAGCCACAGGGCCTTGCCCCTGCTGTCCCCTCTGCCCAGAGTGCTCTTCCCAGACCCTATGTGGCCAGTTCCTCACCCCATGTGCCTGGAGAGGCCTTTCCTGAGCCCTCCCTTCTAAAGCAGCCTCGCTGCACTCAACCACCTCCCCCATATGGGCTCCTTCATGGCACCCAGCGCTCTCTGAAATGACTGCTTTTACTCTTTCGTTTGTATGGTTAGTTTTCAGCCTCCCTTCTCTAAACTGTGAGTTCCAGGGGGCAAGAACTCCATGTCGGGCTCTCTGTTATATTCCCAGCACCCAGCATAGTGCCCAGCATACATAGGCCCTGGGTAAGTGTCCACCCAAGAGTTGTCTCAGGACAGTGGTGGGGTGAGGGGAGGCAGAGCTGACAGCCCTGGGGATGGCTCACCCTCTGTCCCAATGCCCGCACTCATGGATTAGCCCCGGGGCACATTCTGGAGTGAGAAGTTGGGTGGGCAGGGCAGGGGCTGGAGAGGTGAGGGGCCTTGGTAGAGGGTGCTCCTCAGTAGACTATGAGGGGGTGGGGCCAAATGCCTCCCAGGTCCCAGCCACAGCACCTGCAGCCGGGGTCGCACAAAGCTGGGGATGGCTCAGGGCTGAACTCCATGCTGGTCTTGAGGCTCAGAGAGCTTCCCAGTGGTGGCCATGATGGCAGCTCATGCTCTTCCTCAGCACAGGCCCAACCTCTCTGCAGCGGCGGGCCTGGCAGGGAGAGGATGAAGGAGACCTTAGGGCACACGGCCTTCTCCCCTGTCCCAGTGCCACCCTCACCCCTGTGGGACACTGAGCTGTGACCAGGAGCTAGTCCACACCCATGTTCCAGGTGCTCTGGCCTCATCCAAGCATCCCCCACCCTGCTCCCAGCAGGGCAATCATGCCTCAGTGGCCCAGCCACTTGCTAGAGAAAGGACTTTATCAGGGGACTGGCCTCTCCCCACTGAGCTGCACTTGATTAGAAGGGTCTCTCAGTGCTGCCCAGAACCCAGAATGACACAGCTGAGTGGGTCAGCTCTTCTGAGGTCCCTCTTGCAGCCTCTCCTCCTAGACCCCGAGCTGCCTCCCAGGGACACACTGGGACTAGACCCTAGGCTTGGGTGCACAGAGTGATAATCAGAGAAGAAGCAGAGAGTAGCCTAGTGCCTGCACCCTGAGGGCCTCTGTCTATCTGCTGGGAGGACACCCCTCTCCCCCAACCAAGTGTGGCCGCCTCTGTTCCCCCTCCCCTTTCCAATACCTGACCCTTGGTCTCAGTCATCACCCTCCCTAGGGACAGCCTCTGGCCCTGGCCTTGGCCCAAGCCCTGCTACCTTCCCGCTCAGCCTACCTGGCCCACATTGATTCTAATCAATGTATGCCCTAGGCAGATGCCCACTCTCTCCAGGCCTTAGTTTCCCTAACTGTTCAAGAAATGGGCTAGACTCTTGTTTTTAACCTGTCCATTGTTCCAGAAACAGCCTTTATTGAAATAAATATCGCCTTGCTCCATCCTCAAAGCTGACACGGGGCTCACTCTGCCCCCAGCTCTAGTGAGACAACACTCAGCCTGTTATCCTTGCTCCCTAGGTCTGCGGAAATGGCCTGAGCTTGGCTCCTCAGAGCCTGTGTGTGGCAGCCCTTGTGCCCTCTCTGCAGTGTCAACCCAGGGCCATTCTGCCACAGAAAGACTGGGAGATAGGTGAGGCGGGTTTCTATGCACATAGGTTAAGCACCTGGATCTAGATATTCCTGAAAGCAGTAAACCTTGACTTTTTATGATCCACAAGCCAGTAAGTTCATTTTGCTTAAGCTGGTTGGGTTGAGTTTTGAGCCACATCTCATCAGGTAGGTCCTGACTAAAGCAGAGGACAGGTGTTCCGAGCTCTATGCTGGGACAAACTGGGGAATTTTCACTGTTCAGGTGGACCCAGTTCAAGGAGGCCACTGGATCCTGTTAGGGCACCCTCTCCCTTTCTAAAAGTGAAATCACGCATCGCCATCCTCCCAGCACCCCGGTGTCTTCAGAGTGGCGTCCACCCTCTCTGTGGGCCACGGGAGAACGCCGAGAAGGTGTGTGGGGTGCAGTTTCCCCATTCCCTGATGGATGCCCACCCGGGGATGTCCCACTCGGGGTTCACAGGCAACCTAGAGTTCGGTGGCCTTGGTAGGAGGACAGCCCAGAGGACAGGTCCGGGCCCAGCCTTGAGGACAGAGGGTGAACCGGGTTTCGGAGCGCCAGAGGCTCACCAGGTGAGGGGTCGGCCGGGGCAGCTTGGGCGCAGAGTCGACCAGGGTCCGCGCTCGGGAGGGCAGCGTCTGACAGCCTGGGCGGGCGGTCCTGGCCCTTGGGGCTGGGCCCCAGGGGCAGGTGGGGAGCCGCAGCGGAGGCCTGAACGCAGCGCGGGACACTTGGCCGAGACTCCGGAGCCTGGGCGTGGAGGGCCCTGGTGGGCAGCACAGCCCGCTGGGCTCCCGCAGCTCCACCCAGCTCTCCGCCCGCTCCGCGCTCCCCGAGCGGCCACCAGGGGGCGCCGCACCGCGTTGTTCTGTTGCCGCCGCCCGGCGCTCGTGCGGGCTGTGCCGGGAGCCGGGCGGGTGGCGGCGGCGGCGGGCGGCGCCCTGGGTCCGTGGCGCCGACGCTCGCAGCGGGCGCTGCCCATGGGCCGGGCCCGGGGTTCGGGCGCGCCGGGAGCGGGTGAGTGGTGGCGCGGCCGGGGGACACCTGGCGCTGCGGGCAAGGGCGTGGGCTCGCGGGCGCTGGGGAGGGCTGCAGGCGGCCTCGGGGTGCCGGGCGCGGGGTGCTGGCGAGGTCGCGGCGTGGGTGCGGGGCGGCGGGGACGGCAGGTGTCCAGGACGTTGGCGGGCACGCGTGGGCACAGGTGCGCGCGCGGTGACAGTGCGTGTGGCCGGCCGGCGTGACCGGGGGCCGCGGCGCACGTGAGTGTGCGGTCCGCGCGGCGGGGTCGGCTGGCGGTGGGAGGTTGCGCGCGGCGCGGGAACGTGCGCCGGGGTCAACAGGGGCGGGGTCCCCGCGGCTGCGGGGACTGGCGGCGCAGGGGTGGTGGGGAGGGGACCGGCTAAGGGCACACCCCCCGCCACCTGGCGGGAGACCCGGCTCTGCCGCGCGCCCAAGCCCCTCCACTGGGAGCAAGGAGCAAGCTTCTTTGAGCCACTGGAGTGGCAGGAAAAGCCAGCCTGGCCCAAAGCCTCCACCCGCGCCGGACCTCAGTTTCCCCGTCTATGAAATGGGGACAGCAAGGCACACCTGCCGGTGCAGGTGCAGAAGGGAAAGGACCTTGCGCCTGGGGGAAGAGGGTGCTGTCGCCCTTCAGGATAGGATCGGATTTGAGGAAAGGAGCAATGCTAGTATCAGAGGGCCTGCGGAACGGTGGGGTCTGCTGGGAGCCCTGGGTGTGTCCCTCACGCATTGACAGCGGATGGCATCAAGAGACCAGCTGGTCCACTCTTTGTATTTAGATTGGGAAAGCAATGCTTTAGATTGGGAAAGCAATGAGTGGTGGGGAGCTTAGGGAAGGGTGCTGCCGACGCTGCCCCATGTGTGGGGGTGGGAAACAATGTGGGAAAGACAGACCTGGCAAGTTGGGGTGATGGAGAAGCTCATCTCGGCCCCTACCTCCTGCCTCCCGGGGCTGTGGGGGAGACAGAAGTTCTGCTGAGTCCTGGGAGCCTGAGAAGAGTCCTGGGAAGCTCTGCCTGCCAGGCAGCTGGAGTAACTGAGGCTTAGAGAGGGGTGGGACCATGGAGTGGCAATGCTGGGGTCACACCTCTGGTAGGACTGGCTCCAACGGCCATACTGCAGCCACTGTGCCAGGCGACAGGGAGAGGGGGACTGGGGTTGTCCACTCACCAGCCCAGCGCATTCATTGAGCACCTACTGTGTGCTGCCTGTCCCCATCAGTGCTCACTAGCTGGTGTGTGACAGGGACACCAAACACAGAATCAAAGAAAAGCAAGGACACGGCGGAGAATGCGTGCTGGGAAGAAACGTGCAGTAGGGTGACTGGGACAGAGGGAGACCAGGGTGCATCTGAACCTTCGCCTGGTCAGGGAGGCTGCCCTGAGCTGGGAGCCCTGCCTGTGCTGTGATGGACGAGTAGCCTGGGGGAGCCGCAAGAATGAGGTCCCTGAGGGCAGGAGGGATGGAGCTGGAGCCCAGTCGGTGGGGGGTCTGGATGCCCTGGGCAGGGGTTGGAGGTTGGGAGTTGAAAGGTTGCCCCTGGCAGCAGTGGGAGGGCAGGACTGGCAAGGAGAAGTCCGCAGGCCTCCAGACTGGGGTCCTGTCTGTCACCTGGCCCTCTTCAACCACGGTCTTTGCTCTCCTGCCATGTCCCAGTCAATCTCTGAGGTGATTCCAGCTCTCACTTGTACCTGTACCCAGGTCCAGAATCAGCCATTTCTCCAAGGGGCCTTGGCTCCTTCCGTGGGACCCGAGTTTAGAGATCAGCGATGTGGGTAGGCCTTGTCAGTGGGCCCAGCCAAGGCATCTTTCTTTTTTGGTAAAAATTAGTATTACCATTCCCTTTCTTCTGTGGTGAGAACCTTGTCCACCAAAACATGAATATGTTGAATCATTTAGCCCTACAATGCACCCTGAAATAGTTTCAGAATTACTACATCCAAACCTACTAGGTCAGCCTCGGGATTTCTGCGTGTGCAGGCAGAGGGCTGTGCGATTGTGTTATCAATTGGATCCACTGTTAGCTTCGTGTGTTTCTATTTGCATTCAGTTTTCAACTTTTTTCCTTTAGACTTTAGGATGTAAATTTATTTTTTTGAATATGTAAAACACATGGTTTAAAGGTCAAAACTATTTAAAAGCTATCCTTAGAGGTCTCAATCCCACCCCTGTGTCTTCCTCCTTGTTCCCATACCACTGGTAGCCATTTAAAATATTTTCTGGTTTATCCTTCCTGTGTCTCTTTCTGCAAAACAAGTCTTTTAAGCATTATCACCAAAGTTAGCACATACAGCTCCTTGTTTTTCTTCCATTAAAAATATGTCCTGAAAATAACTTCTTACCAGTTCATGGAGACCTGCCTCATTCTTTTTCACATTCACATAGTATTGTTCTGTGGCTGTACTATTATTGTTTATTCAAATTAAGTTCTGTGGATGCACATTTTGGTTTTTTCCAAGCCTTTTTTTATTTAAAATAATGAAGCGATGGATAACCTTGCACCTATATTATTGTTAATATTTGCAAAGGTGTATATTTAGAACAAATTCCTGGGAGTAGGAGTGAATGTGGATTTATTTTGTCCAGATTCCCTGTCAAGAGGTGGCACCGTTTTGCATTCCTGCCACTAACGTATCACAGTGTCTGTTTCCCTCACAGCTTCGCCGGTCTGAGAGCTGAGAAACAGTATTTCAGTGTATTTTAAATTTATATTTCTATTATTATAAGTGAAATTGGACATCTTCTCACATAGATTTGGAATCATAGTTAGACTTTTCCCAGCCCAATTATAAAGCAATCATCTGTGTTTTCTAATATTTGTTTAGTTTTGTACTTAGTCTGTGGATCCAATTTAATCTTTTTCTAAATGTCTACCACTCTCTCCCAATTTCGTTTATTTAAAAGGTCATCTTTTCTCCAGTGATCTGAAATGCACCTTCATCCTATACTAAACATCTAAGCCCTGGGCCTGTTTCTGGATTTCTAGTCTGTCTCACAGGTCTGTCTATTCCATCTGTTCACACACTGGTGAGAGAGAGAGAGAAAGAGAGAGAGAGAGAGAATATATTTAAAGGCAAGAAGGGCCTGGCGCAGTGGCTCACGCCTGTAATCTCAGCACTTTGGGAAGCTGAGGTGGGCAGATCACTTGAGATCAGGAGTTTGAAACCAGCCTGGCCAACATGGTGAAACCCTGTCTCTCCCCAAAAATATAAAAAGTTAGCCAGGTATGGTGGCGTGCACCTGTAATCCCAGCTACTTGGGAGGCTGAGATATGAGAATCACTTGAACCCAGAAGACGGAGGTTGCAGTGAGCTGAGACTGTGCCACCGCACTCCAGCCTGGGCGACAGAGTGAGACTCCGTCTCAAAATAATAATAATAAAGGCAAAAAGGACTTTATTCAAAACTATTGCAATAGAGGAGAGATTGAGCTCAACTCTCCTTGTGTTTTAATATCTGATGGGTAAGTTCCTTCCACTGCTTTTTACTGCAAGGATTTCCTAGCTATTTCAGCATGTTGCTGGTATTTGGTGGGGAAGGAGATCATATTAAGTTTATATTAGACTTATAAACTTTAGGATAATTGGCATCTTTATGAAGCTGAGTCATCTCATCCAAAACCAAGATATATCTTTCTGTTTGTTCAGCACTACTTCTAGGAGTATTTTGAAGTTTTCCTCATACATGCTTTTCATATTTCTTAAGTTTATTCATGAGTATTTTACCTTGTCTGTTGCTATTATAAATGGTTTTTTCGTCAATTATATCTTTGAATTGGCTACTGTTTTGTATATGTTATTTTATATCTTTCTGTCTCACCTGAATTTTTATTGTTAGTCTTCTTTTTTTTTGAGACAGAGTCTCGTTCTGTCACCCAGGCTGGAGTGCAGTAGCATGATCTTGGCTTACCACCACCTCCACCTCCCAGGTTCAAGTGATTCTTGTGTCTCAGCTTCCCAAGTAGCTCAGAGATTACAGGTGCCAGCCATCACTCTGGGCTAATTTTTGTATTTTTAATATCATTGTATTAGTTATCTATTTCTGTGTAATAAGTTATCATTGACCTAGTGGCTTGAAGCAACATATGCTTATTAGCTCATCATTTCTGTGGATCAGGAGCCTGGGCATGGCTTAGCTGAGTACTGCTGGCGTTGGCTAGGACTAGGTTCTCATGTGGAGACTCAACTAGGGAAGGATTTGCTCATCCATTCATGCGGTTGTTGGTAGCATTTAGTTCTTTGTAGTTATATTTAGAGCTTAAATTTTTGGCTAGATGTTGGCTAGAGGCCAACCTCAACTTCTAGAGGACCCCCAGGTCCTAGGGACCACCCACAGTTCCTTGTCCCGTGGGCTTCTCCAGCATGACTGCTTACTTTATCAAGCAGCAAAGAGTCTCTAGAGAGTCATAACATGACAAAACATAACACAGTGTAATGTAACATATATGATATAATCCCAGCAGTGATATGCCATCATCTTTACCATAGTCTATTGGTTAGAGGAAAGTCAAAGTTCCCACCCAGTCCCAAAAGTCTGAATACCAAGAGGTAGAGATCATGCCTGGCACAATGGTGTTGGATTCTGATTACTAATATTTGTTTTTGCCAAAGTTTTCCCAGTCACCTTTTGACTAGACAAAGCTTAACTTCTGATGATTCCTTAAGAAAGACTTGTGAGCCTGGGTGCAGTGTCTCATGCCTGTAACCCCAGCACTTTTGGAGGCTGAAGTGGGTAGATCACGAGGTCAGAAGTTCAAGACCAGCCTGACCAACCTGGTGAAACCCGGTCTCTACTTAAAATACAAAAATTAGCCAGGCATGGTGGCGTGCACCTGTAATCCCAGCTACTCAGCAGGCTGAGGCAGAGAATCGTTTTAACCCAGGAGGCGGAGGTTGCCGTGAGTTGAGATCATGCCACTGCACTCCAGCCTGGGACAGAGTGAGACTCCATCTAAAAAAAAAAAAAAAAGAAGAAGAAGAAGAAGAAGGATAGATTGGC